AAGAACTTCCCTGTCAGAGGCTATATACCCGTGGCCATGTGAGAGCATTTCGAGAGGGAGGGTGGCACCTCCCCACTCTCGGCCGTATCAGGGCAAGTTCAACCTCGGCATTAGTACTTACAATTTTATTTCATGAATCTCTTAAAAATTGCAGTTCTAATTTTCCATATATGTTTGATGAAACATCAGAAATATAGAAATTTTCAAAAAGTGTATTGGTTTAAGTTTAACTCCAAATTTTTTATAACCGGTTTATCTTTATAGGTGACTCATCCTGACTTCATGCTGTACGACTCTCTTGATGTGGTTTTATACATGGACCCAAAATGTTTGGATAATTTTCCAAAACTAATTAGCTTCAAACAACGTATAGAAGTAAGTTCATAATAATATGTACTTAGTTGTCGTTTAACCTGACGAATTTTAATTTACTTAATTTCTTTTTTTTTCTTAAAACTAGAATTTACCACCAATCAAGAACTACCTGAATTCTAACAGGTACATAAAATGGCCTTTACAAGGTTGGTCCGCCAGTTTTGGTGGTGGAGATGCTCCTCCAAAATAAGTCAACAATGATTCTTTTAATGAACATTATTGAACACTTGTTGTGTGTATGTTTACTGAATAAAAAGTTGCTCTTTTCTCACATGATTTATGCTACGTGAATGAGATCACGTCCAAAAAATAATAATAATCTATATATTTATTTGTCTCCTATTATTGATACTATTCTTAGTTGCACTACTTTGTTATTCATCTTACCAGTATTATCTCTGTGCTATTGTAGTGCGTCAACTTGAGATTAAACACATTCGTGAGAGCTTAAAAGTTGATTATGATTAACGGATTCCTAACCTATGGTTCATATTTTAATTAAGTTTTGTAATGTTCGTCATAGAAATACAACAAACTAGTGAAGTATAGAAATTGATAGTTCATACTTGTTAGCAAGCCATGTATAGGATTGATGCATGTTCCACTCAGCATAATGCTAGGGCGCATTTTTAGCCAGTCAGCGCTAGCGAATAATTCGAGAAGACTTAAGAATCTCATGTAAAATTATAAGTATACTGACGTTTTTCTTATTGTAGCTATCAGTCCCATTCAACCTTGTTTATTTGGAATATAATTACGTTTCTGTTCAACTGTAATCTGATTTGAGGACTAGTCGAGTGGAGTAAGGTATACAAGTATGGCGCATATATATTTGGTGCCTCCCTGTACCTATGTTTATGTGTTAAAATAAATAATAAGGTATCCGAAGAATACTAAGCAATAAGAGTTTTATAAAGAAAGATCTTAACAACACTCGAGAAAATGTCGGTTATATACAATTATTATCAGTCAGTCAGCTACAACGTAGGACCAGGCACATATATGCATCGGTACAAGTTGTCATACCTCGTCAGCACAAAAAGATGAACACCGGATTCATAGAAATAGTTAATTTAGTGGTGGTAGTATATAAATTATAGGTTGTATATAAGGATATAGTGTAGGAAGAAAAAAAGTTATGAAGCAATTTTAATCTCAAGGTTTAAGGGAAGACAAAGAGTGTATACAGCTACGCCATTGTGATCGATTCTGAGCCATGTCACACAGTCTTCAACCATTGGTTACGATAGTCACGCGGACCCCAATCAGGTAGTCTGCATCTACCAACATGGCTCAGACTAGAAGTTAGTAACTTCAAACACTGATGCCATGTTTTGGTTTGGCCGCCCCTAACTCTCTTCCAACCATCCCCAATACTAGTCATCATACAGCGTCGTGGTAATCGGTGTTCAGGCATGTGTAACGCGTGGCCCAACCATCTCAGTCGATGAAGATTCATGACCTCATTACCATCGTTCCCTAATACCCTGCGTCAAATCTCGCTATTACTTACCCGGTTATCCCAGCAGATGCGAGCAATATTTCCAAGGCATCTGTGGTCAAACACTAGTGAATTACGAGAGTCTTCTACTCTTAATGGCCATGTTTCATAGCCGTAAAGTAGAACAGAACGAACTGCTGTGCAGTATACTCGTCCCTTAATCGATAGACGGATATCTCGCCTTCGCCATAGGTGACGTAAGTTGGTAAAAGCCGAACGAGCCTTTTGAATTCGTACTGAGATTTCGTCAGGCACCAACCCATTAGGGCTGGTCAGACTTCCAAGATAAGTGTAGTTGTCGACGCGTTCGACTACTTCACTCCCTATCCTTAGTTCGGGTGTTGACGCAGGCCAGTCCTGGAGTAACAATTTACATTTGGATGTAGTGAAACGCATCCCAAACATCCTGGCATTATTACTGAGTTCCAACAGAAGACTCTGCATTTTGACAGCGTCTTCACCAAACAGGACTATGTCATCTGCGTATTCTAAGTCGCTTAGTGGTCTCCCTGGTAGGAGAACAATTCCTATAAATTCAGTAGACGAGAGTGTTATTTGCAGCAACAGGTCTATAATGAAGTTAAACAAAAATGGGGGTAGTGGATAGCCTTGACGGACACCACTTGAGGTTGTAAAATCATATGACAGTTCGCTATAAGGTCTCACTCGACTGGTAGTGTTCGAGTAAAGAGCCTTCACAAGGTTTATGTACTTCTGAGGTACACCTTTCAATGACAGACACTGCCACGGAACCTCTTGGTCTAGAGAGTCAAATGCTGCTTTCAAGTCAAAAAAAACTATCATTGTCGGACGCCGATAAGCATGTCTGTGCTCTAAAACTTGACGAATGGTGAATATGTGGTCGATACAGCCACGACCAGGTCTGAAGCCAGCCTGATTTTCTCGTGTTTGCAGTTCACGAGTCTTAGTTAGGCGCCTGATAATTATCGAGGATGGTATTTTAGATGCTAAAATTAATATAAGCAGTGAGGTTACTGAGACAAGTTTGTTCATTAATATTGGTTATAGAGATATCGCCTTCGAACTACTTATTTCTTTAACAAGATACCATTTGATGACTGTGAGAGTAATTGCACAGTATCATACAGAAATGAAGATCAAAATAACCCTCAATGTGTACTGATCTCATAATCCATAGTACACAGTGAGATTTCTTGATTCTATAGTGTGAACACTATGATATCTAGATTACTGTTTACAACTAGGTGTACTTCTGTTATTGTAGGAACTCACAAGTGTTTTATTCAGTGCCTGTCCGTTTGTCACACTACGCATCATCTGTTTTGAGCTCATGTGCATATTGCTTACCCTATTCATCACTTGTTTTTTGTCTGCTGATTGATTATTAACAAGTTGGCAAGGGTAAAAGGAGCGGCTGGACACATTTCTTTTGGATGCAAAGCTCTAGCTTTTTGATCCGGATAGCAATTGCCTCAACCGTCTGTGGGATTCTTAATGTGATGGAATTAGGTAGACTGTTGTTAACACGATATATATAATTGCGAAAGATAGCTCCGTCTGAATGAAATGGGCTAAAATGGAGCTGTTGACTGTTTTGACTTCACCTTTGCTTAACCACACTGGAAGGTGCTCAAGAACCCGAATATACAAATTCCTAGAACACCTGCCTATATTAATTATCCCAACAGGCACACCTTGCTGACGAGTGCCAAGTAACACGAAACCCGGGTCCAGGGTTTCCTGTTGACCACCTCCAACCACCATCTTATCTCAATATACAGTGCAGGCAGTGTCGAGCCACCTAGGCTGGTGGCCACATTGAAACTTGATCGATAGCATTCGATCAGCACTAAGAAGGACTTGACACGCATGACATTGATCACCACCCAGTGATCGATCAATTGTGAACATATAATCGTGCCTTGTTTTTGTATTTGAAACTAAATTCGAACCAAACTCAAGTGAACATTACAGTCGCTAATCTACACATAAACTGAATAGGCCGAGTTTATTTAACACACTACATACATACTTCCTTACGCCTGTTACCTCTCGTGGAGGAACATAGGCCGCACACCAGCATTCTCCATCCCACTCTGTCCTGGGCAATTCTTTCGAGTTCTTTCCAATCGTTATTCATCCTTTTCATGTCTGCTTCTATTTCCCAGCGTAATGTGTTCTTTGGTCTTCCTCTTTTCTGCTTCTCTTCCGAATTCCGAGTTAGGGCTTGCCTCATGATGTTAATATAGTACACGGGATATTAACTCAATAATCAGCTTAATAGTGGGTTTTCTTCTGTCACCAAATCAGCGACTCATTTCGTATTCCTTACTCCTAAAGAGGTTCTCTTTATACATCTAAATCATCTAATTATCTGTAGAATTTTCTAGTTGGTATCGCTGATATCATTCTCTGCAGTCTACATTTCAAAGGATTTCTTCACAAATCATGTTCATTCTCATCTGCTCACTCAGTATTACTTGGGTGAACAAGTAATTATCTTTCCATCATGGTGGTATTTGTCAAATGTTGATAAACTTATTCTTGTAAGTCAAGATGTGAAATGTTAGGCGGTAATATGACACGATACACAACCTGACCAAGAGATAATGATCTCAACATAGTAATTCATTCAACGTTACTCGACACTTTCAAATGATTACTGAGGTTATTAGTGAAATGATCAGTGTATGAATGCTAGCGTATACAGATGACAAATATATGGTAAGCATTGAAGGGTTACAACAATTGAGATGACTAGCTAGTAACAAATAGAAAATGTAGTAAACATGGTACCTATGGCATGTTTATGAGATTCTAATTGCTTTGTAAATGGGTACACCATGTTCTGATCTATTCGAATGTTGGCCCATCCGTAGCTATTACAGTATGCTTTGGAATGAACTAGGGAATCCTATTTCATAAATTTCATGCAGCACTACTAATTATTCTAGTATATCGATTGTTGGCTACGTTTATGTGATTGCATTCAACTATTGTATTTTAATGTTACCTGCACAACTGATATGTTTACAATTGGATTATAAATACAGCCTTACAAAGGGTGTGCATATCAGTTGCCAAAAACGCTAAGCAAAAATAATGAATCAATCGAATCCATTTAGTGCAAACAAAATAAAGATGGAAAATAATAATAATAATATATTCTGAAAATAATATTTACAGAATTCACACCAGTTTACAGGCATGATCAGATTGTTATAAAAATCAACATTTAATGTAGAGAACAAACATGAATTATAAGGTTTTATGTTTGCTGGTTTAGTAATTGATAAACAGTTTAAATATGGCATATATCACGGCAAGCCAATGCAACACCAGGGAACTTGTCATTTTTTCATCAAGTGGATAGCCTGATGATTGACCAACATTATTCTGTAAGGTTATTACCAGTGCCAGAGCGAGTTATTATTAATTATCTACAACTAGAGAAGGTAAGATTAAAGCAAAGAGCACGGAACAACAAAACAATGATAGCAAGTAAGAAGTTAAACATTTAAAGTTCCTATAATCTCACTTGTGGAGTAAGATACACTTGCAGGCGCTAGAGCATTTAATGCATTTTCAGAGGAGCAAAAAGCATTAATTGAGCGAACAAACAATGGGAAAGAGTTTAACATACGGATAGTTTGGGGTAAATTATTCCAGAGTCTAGAAAACTTACAGGTAAAGTAATTCATAAAGAGAGAAGACCTAGAATATGTTTGTTTCGCTAAAGACAAGGAGTTACGAATGTCGTAATGTGAAGCCTTAGCATATTGAATCGCCTGACTGGATGTGAAGGAGAGTTTGTTAAGTATTTTGAAAAAGAAGATAAGGTTAAGTTTGAGTCTCCTCATCCATAAAGGGTCAAGCCCTAGTTTACTACACCTCGAATTATATGTCAAGACACTATCAGGTCCAAGAGTACGAAGTGTAAATCGTCTCTGTACAGATTCCAGTCTTAATTTATCCTTTATGCGCGTGCTACTAAGGAGAAACGCGCAGTATTCGAGGAGTGGTCGAACACAGACTTTGTACATTAGAATACGGGATTCGCTGTTATGAAGGTTTCGAGTTATGAAACCTATAAGGCGTTGAGACTTGGACGTTTGTTTCATTACCTGTTCAGTAAACGACAAGTCATCGGAGTACCTAAGCCCTAGATCTACTACTGTGTGTAACCTAGATAACATTTCCCCATTTATGGTAAGATTAAGGTTGAGTGATGTATCACCGAAGCATAGCCAACCACATTTAGCTGTATTGAGCTCCAGCTGCCATTTTGAGCACCACTGTGCTACCTTGTTAAGCTCCGTGCTGATGCAATTTCGAATATTGCTCAGCTCATGTGGAGAAAATGAGTACACCACCTTAAGATCGTCTGCAAACAAAAGGGACTTACCCACACTAAAACACTCACAAATATCATTAATGAAAACTAAAAAGAGCAAAGGACCTAAGACACTATCCTGAATTATCCCACTTCTAACAGGGACGGCATTCGACAATGAAGAGTTCATTTTAATTATTTGATGTCGATTGCTGAGGAAGGAATCAAACCAGGCTAGTAACGGGTTTTCGACCCCATAAAATGCGAGTTTACCTATGAGAAGTTGGTGGTTGACCATGTCGAAGGCCTTAGAAATGTCCAGGTATAGCACTAATACTAGATATCCTTGGCTACGAAGCGAATAGACTAAATTAAAGAAGTCAAAATGACATGTCATACAGGATCGATTTTTAAGAAATCCATGTTGCGAATCACCAATAAATTGTTCAGTCAATAAATAGTTGGATAGTTCGTCACTAATAATTTTTTCCATAATCCTAGAGATAACTGGAGTAATATTTATTGGCCAATAGTTGTTCATGTCAGTCTTATCTCCGGATTTGTAACGTGGTATGATGTACGCGGTTTTCCAACGGTCAGGATAAGAGCCTGATTCCATAGAGAGGGCAAACAGTTTAAGGAGAAGAAGTTGGATATCTGGACCACCATATTTGTAGAGAAATGATGAAATCCCGTCTGCACCGTGACCTTTCGAAACCTTGAGCTTATTTATAACCTTACTAATTTTCAGACATGTGAAGGAGATAGATTTAATGGAGTTACCAGTCAAGCATATAACTCTAGAAACAGAGCCATTTATGGATTCTTTGTCATTTGCAAAATTACCACTGAAAAGGTCTGCTATAGTTTTTGGGTCATATATAAAACTATTATTATGCAGGATGCATGGTATATCAACATTTTGAGTTGATTTAGCACGTTTATTGTAAAGGTGGATTAGGTTTTGCACTTTTGAGCTAGTACTTAGTGCTAATAGCTCTTCATTGATGGCTTTTAACCTATGTTTCTCTTTAATTTGGTTAAAAATTATTGTTATTTGTGTGACTGCCGTGAAGTCGTTAGCATTAAAATAACGTTTCTTTAGGCGTCTTAGTTTATTACGATATTTAGCTGGTATATATAATTCGTGATGTTCACTAATCCTGTAAGTCTTAATTGGAGCACAGGAGTCTAGACAAGAGTTAACAATCAAATAGAATATGTTGATGGCATCTGTCAGACTATTACATGAGAAGAATTCATCCCAGTCTGAGAGTTTGATCAGTGAGCGCAAGAGGTCCCAGTCTGTATGCTTATAGTCTCTATAATTGCAGGTTCTTTGAATTGGTCGGTTGTAGGAGGGACAGATGGGGAGAGCACAAGTTACTATCCTATGATCACTGCTTTCAAACTCGTTGTATACTTGTACAGATAGGGGAATGATATCTCTACTAAATATTAGATCAAGTGTATTATCACCCCTTGTTGGGGTACGAACCCACTGTGACCAGCAGTACAGATTAAGGATTGATAAAAATTCATCATTGCTAGACTGACAACTACCGGTACTCCAGTTAATCCCAGGATAATTGAAATCACCAGTGATAATCTTAGCGCTGAAGTTTAGAGTAGATGCGTGGATAAATGCATTGATAATACAATCATTCAAATTATCAGTACTATCAGGAGCTCTATATATACAACCTAGGAGTAGACTATGGTTTAGGGTATTGATTGATATCCAGATCGATTCTGGTAAACTATTCAGGATACTATCTTCAACTTTATTAGTTGTTAAGGCATCCAAAGCAAATATAAGACAACCGCCTCCTCGCTTAGTTTCTCTGTCACAGCGATAGAGTCGATAGTTTTGGATATTTAATTCGGAATCGGCCACTGCTGGATAACACCACGTTTCAGTGATAAGTATAAAAGAAGGCTTGGCTAGAAAGGCATTATTAAACTATATGGATAGAATAATACTTAATTTATATGGTTTCATCTGTAGTGACCTGCTTTTCTCGACGAGAACGCTATTGGTATAATGGAAACAATTATCATTATAACCAATTGTACCAGTGATTGTTTGACTGTACTCGTTTTGTTTAACTGTATCTAAAGCACTTTTCGTCCAGTGGCCCATCTTGTTCGTTTGAACTTTCTTGTGCTTTACCTATACTCGTTGGCACGTCTCGGTATTCTTTCAATAACACGAGATCGCCAATAAATATACTTTATCTGGACCAGCTACAACCTTCTCGTTTACTAGCTAGCGAAGGAACCAAATCGTTTACGGGCGCGTAATATTACTGTGATCATAGTCAATCGACACTCGACGCCATCTACATATTAAAGTTTGACACCTATTTCCCACATGAAAAGCATATTATTTCTTCAACGAGAGATTTCTTATAAAACATAGTCATTGACTGATCACTTCAATTCGTAACAAGGAAGCAGTTCAATTGGTGTAGGTTAATCAAAGAAAATGGTAGATCAAACACACAAATAAGAAAGACAAAATATAAAAATAGTAGTGTAAATGAATGTTAAGTATTATATCACACCATACTAACTCACCTCATATCGACATAATCTTTATCAGATTAAAGCAAACAGATTTTAATTAATGTTATTCTGACGTGTATATTAAAATATATAAGGAAACAAACTACCACATGAATTGTAAAGTTTTCTGAGTTAATAATCTAAATTCCTGAATATGACCTCAACTGTTAGTTACTTTCTAAAATAAAACACATATTTCTTGTCATTTAAATGTAATTCACCTTATTAAGTACATCAAATTCAAGTCTGGATAATGTATGATAACACGTATATTTAATAACTTTCAAAACCACACTAAAAGATCATATCTTCTCTTTCTGTGTGATGCTGTATGTGTAACCACATTTATAATCAGTAGCTCTCGTTTGTTTTTTTGGATATAAACCAGAATTCACTGGCAATTTACTGATCGTCTTGTTACATCTGAAGTTCAAATAAACGTAACCTACATCGTCCCATTGTCAGCGTTACTCACTACAAACATTAACTGAGGAGGACAGTAGTGTTATGAGACTCTTTTAGGTCGCTCCCCACCATGTATAACTGTTAACTTGGATTACCTAGTAACCAGGCTAATGGACTTATATTTCTCTTCACACAGTCAATGCTAACCGTGCTGGTGGATATTTAATGATTGAGTGTACTTTGTTCGTATTGGTTAACCAAAATGGAATGTTCAGGCAACGTTCATTACAGAACTATCATTGTTATTCTGCTGTTCAACAAATATAACTGAGTTTTGAATGTTATTGTTATATTCGTTAAGTTTATACTAAATGATTTACAACAAATGAATTAGGTAAGAACTAAAATGCGAATGTTCCTGAATGTATGATTAGTAGTGAAATTCAGTAGCATGCATAGCAGTAGCAAATAATCAAAGTGTAATGAGATTGAATGGACATAAGCAGGATGAAATAATGGTGGTGTGGGATTGTCTTCATGATTATTCTTGTCGTCTTTCCAATTTATATTGTAGCTGTAAATAATCCCCCAAAATCAATAGCTTATTAAGTGTTCAACATTGGATGCTGACCACGTTGTTTAAGTAGACTTGTTTAACTGAAGGCTTTCGGTCATGCATCCGTACCAGATCACGTTTCAACTCGACGTGGGACACTGCTCCTACGTTCACTAGTCAGCTTAGAATAAACGTTCTTCCATATATTGACAACGTATCAAATATATCTTTCCTACCTCTTCTCGTCTGACTTCTGATTTCCATTGGTCAAGAAGTTTTCGATTATAGAAGGTGCTATTGGTAGCTAATTGTAAAGTTAGAATACTAGTCGTATCCTCAGTGGTGAGCCCGACGTGATCTGGTACACCAAGCCAATAAACTGTGAGTCTGTTCCTTTTTGGAATATTATTATTCATTGTTATTCTTTATTTGATTTTTATATATTGTGATATACTTTTTTTCTCCAGTTTTTCCGGATATATTCTAAGTAAATATTTTACGTTTTTAATATTGCTATGACGGAACACTCACTTAAAGTATTTAAGTTAAGGACTACTTTCCCGTCATCGATTCAATTAACTCCCAATGGCCTGATAATATCGAGTCCTGGTTCTGCTACGGAGAAGCTGATTTTTGCGGGCACGGAATCACAGGCTCGCGCACACGATTCCTCGCAGTAGTTAAGGCGTTACCGTATGAACTCAACAGGTACGTAACATCTAGTATGTTTACTAGTGATGTTTCGTAACCATACGAAACGTTGAAACGATCAATTCTGCGACGTGGAGGTCTAACCGACCGACAACGGTTAGACCAACTCCTCAATAATATCGACCTACAACGTGGTTCCGCGACGGACATGTTGTTAAGGATGGGAGAAGTTATAGGTCAAAAAACCTTCTACTATAGCTTATTTAAACAACTTTTCTTATCTAAACTCCCGAAACAGGTGCAAGCAGTGCTCGTCTCGTTCCAAAACAACGCCGTAGACGAACTAGCTGCATCTGCTGATCGAGTTTTAGAAATTACCAAATCGACTAGCGCCGAGGTTTTTTCCGTCAAGGAAAAACCTCAATCGACCCCGACTGACATAGCCGAACTATGTCACACACTAACACGATATCTGCTATTTCGTTATGATCGTAGTCAGTCAAAAACCTCGCGTAGAGTTATCCCACGTAAGGGATCTGCCTCTTAACCACGAGAGACAGAAAGTCCCGACTGGTGCTGGTATCATAACCAGTATGGTAAGTCCAAAAATTGCAGGAATCCCTGCAATTATCCGAACTCCAAATCCACCTACACGAACAAGTACTCGAGAAACCTTCGAACCGGCATGAGTTAACGGCAACCGTAGCCGGCGAACACAGCTGTCTGTTATATGTCACCGATGTGACCACGAATGTTCGCTACCTCGTCGACACTGGGGCAGAAGTTAGCGTTCTTCCAGCAAATCCCAACGACAGACTTCGCGACTCTGTTTTAAGTTTACAGACGGCAAACGGAAAGCCGATTGCTACGTATGGTAAAAGGTACGTTTACCTTGATGTGGGTTTACGAAAACCCACACACTGGAATTTCGTTGTTGCAGATGTCTCTATGCCAGTCACTGGCATAGACCTGTTACAATACCACAATCCACTCATCGATACACGCTCACGAGGGTTAATAGGCGGAAACACTAAGTTATCTGTTTGCGTAACTCTTTTTTCTGGTTTCAGATTATCCCCAGTCAAGATTAAGCGCACCATAGACCACCTATACCAATCAGTACTCGACAAATACCCCGGGATATACCAATCGCAATAGATATTGCCTTGTGTAACCAGCAATGTTACACATCACATCTCGACTACAGGACCACCTGTATTCTCAAAAGCACGACCACTGGCTCCCGAAAAGCTTAGGTTAGCCAAAAACAAATTCGATCATATGATAGACTTAGGGATAATTCGACCATCAAATAGTCCATGGTCATCTCCATTGCACATGGTCCTTAAAAACGACAGCAATGATTGGCGTCCAGCTAATGGTTATCGGCGTCTGAATGCTAAAACCATTCCCTATCGTTACCCATTGCCTACCATTCACGATTTAATAGCTACCTTGAAAGACACAACTGTCTTTTCGAAAATCGACTTGGTTAAGACTTACAACCAAATACCGATGGCAACCGACGACATCCCAAAAACCGCCATTATAACTCCTTTCGGCCTAAGAAATACCACTCAAACTTTTCAGAGGTTCATTGACAACGTCTTCCGAAGTCTCAACTTCGTACATGCGTATGTTGATGACTGCCTCATAGCAAGTCCGGACAGAGAGTCACATCTCCAGCATGTGGACCTTGTTTTCGAACGACTCCAAAGGCATGGCATTACTGTCAACATTCAGAAATACCAAATCGGAACAAACTCTTTAGACTTCTTAGGATACACCATTGATGCTCAAGGCATCCGACCCCTTAGAAGCAAAGTGGCGGCCATTCTGGCTTACTCAGAACCGACCACGATCAAGCATTTACGAACTTCAAACGGCCTCGTAAGTTTCTACAGACGGTTCATATCTAAATGCGCGTCCCATATGAAACCATTAACCGACCAACTTCGTGGAAATGCAAAATCAATTATTTTAGACGACACAGCCCGTAAAGCATTCTCCACAGTTAGGGAACATATCGCTAAGGCAACCTTGCTTGCGCATCAAGACACTCAAGCGCCCATTAGTTTCGCCGTAGACGCATCCGACTCAGCAATCGGAGGAGTTTTACGACAATGGGTCAACAACTCATGGCAACCTTTAGGGTTTTTCTCGAGACGGTTGCTAGACACGGAATCTAGGTACAGCACGTTCGGTGGGGAACTCCTAGCTATGTATTGTGCTGTACGGCATTTCCAATGTTCCATCGAAGGAAGAGAATTCACTCTTTTTACCGATCACAAACCTCTTACCTTCTCTTTAAGTTCATCTTCAGACAAGTACTCACCGCGAGAGTCTCGACAACTGGACTACATTTCACGGTTTACTTCAGACATACAACACATTTCTGGAGCAAACAATGTAGTCGCAGACGCTTTGTCTCGAATAAGTTCCTTGGACAGTTTCCAAGGAATCGACCTTCTAAAACTCGCTCAGATTCAAAAAGAAGACACTGATCTTCAGCACGAGTTATCCTCGACAACTCTTAAACTAAGTATTAAGCAGATAAGAACAGGTAAGGAAACCTTACTTTGCGACACATCGACAGGTAGGGATCGTCCAGTCGTACCTAAACATTATCGACTCAATGTCTTCAATACGTTGCACAATTTTTCTCACCCAGATGTTCATGCATCCATCAAGCTTATTGCCGAACGGTTTTGCTGGCCTGGCATGAATAAAGACGTGAGGGAGTGGGCACGCTCCTGTATAGGCTGCCAGAAATCTAAGGTAATTAGACACAACAAATGTCCATTAGGCTCTTTCAGAACTCCCGATGCTCGTTTCGACCATGTTCATCTGGAATTGGTAGGACCCTTACCCGATTTAAATGGACACTCATATCTCTTAGCATGCGTAGACCGTTTCACTCGATGGCCAGTAGCAATACCGGTTAAGGACATTACTGCTGAAACTGTGGCTCGTGCTTTCGTCGAACGATGGGTAGAAAATTTCGGCTGCCCTTCAACCATTACTACAGACCGAGGACGCCAGTTCGAATGTGGACTTTTCCGTTGTCCGACATCACTATTAGGAATCACGCGCTTCCGAACGACCGCCTACCACCCATAAGCAAACGGGTTGGTAGAACGTTTTCATCGATAACTTAAAGCTTCACTATCAGCTACAAACGTTTCACAGTGGACAGACGCTCTTCCACTCGTCTTGCTAGGTATCCGCAATGCAGTGATAGCTGACTTTGGATACACTGCATCTCAACTCGTTTATGGAACGACACTCCGGCTTCCAGGAGAATTCGTAGATCCTCCGACTTCTTCATTGAACATGGATCTAAACTCTTACACGAGCAGGCCTACAAACACAATGCGTTTAGTTAAACCTGCTCACACTCGACCTCAATCAACTGATGTTTTCGTTCAACCCGACTTACGACATAGTACACACGTCTTCGTTCGTCGAGACTCACATCGACGACCTCTGGAATCAGCATACGAAGGACCCTTCAAAGTTCCTCAACGTGAACCCAAGTACTTTGTAGTCGGTAAGAACAGCACGAACGATAGCATCACGTTTCAACTCGACGTGGGACACTGCTCCTACGTTCACTAGTCAGCTTAGAATAAACGTTCTTCCATATATTAACAACGTATCAAATATATATTTCCTACCTCTTCTCGTCTGACTTCTGATTTCCATTGGCCAAGAAATTTTCGATTATAGAAGGTGCTACTGGTAGCTAATTGTAAAGTTAGAATACTAGTCGTATCCTCAATATGCTTCCGTATAAGTTTTGCTTATTAATGTTTATTTCTCAGCAATCGGAGAAGTTTTACAACAATAAGTAAATAAAACTTGGTTATACTCAACATTCTCTTCGTCACGGTTTCAAGTAATCAGACCCAGTTAAAACGTTTATGGTAGAGAACTCAGTGCTGTGTACGGTACTGCTGTACGGTACTTTCGACATTCTTTAGGAGGTTGAGAATTCATTGTTCACCGACAATGAACCTCTCACTGTTTCTCACAACTCGTACCAGATATGTGCTTTCCTGCAGAGTCTGGATAACTAGACCCCATCTCACAGTTCACCTCAGATATAAAACATGTCTCTGAGACACAATGTGGTTGCAGACCCTTTGTCACATATAACCCCCTCTCCAGTTTTCGAGCGACTTACCTAATCAAATTCGTCCAGAATCAAAAAGAAGACACTTGTGGCGGATAAAAAAATACCAACTCAAAAAATAGAAATGACGTTATTACGTCCAAAGGTCAATACAATAATATACAACTTATAAGTTTTTGAATCCCATATAGCATGACACTGTTGACTGCTCATACACTGATCTTCCTCATGAGTTACGACTGACAACCCCGAAACTGCAAATCAAACAGATGAGAACAGGTAAGGAGGTTTTACTTTGTAGCAAATTTATGGGTGGGGACCGTCAAAT